GCAGGTCTCCCCGCGGGCGCCGCCGCCGCCGGGGCTCCGAGTGCTGACGCCGCCTCCCCCGGACCTCGGGGCCGAGTCGCCTGGGCTGGGCCTCCCGAGAGCCACAGTCATCTTCAGTCCCCGGGCTAAGTTGCCGCCATCTTCGTCCTGGAGACACACTTTTTGGGGGGGGAGAGCTGGCTTTTGCGTCATCTCCTCCCGCGCCGAGGTCGCTCCATCCTGGCGCATTGGCGCCGGGCTCGGCCCCGCGGGCGGCGCCTCTGGGCTCGGGCTCGGGCTCGGGCTCCCGACCCCTCCCCACTATTTTCATTTGTGTTTTTTCTTTCATCACTGGAAAGAGTCAGATTGGGGACTGCACGGCTGAGGCTGCTGTCCGGGGTCTGCGGCGTCTCCCGCTCTCTGTCTCCGGGAACGTCCGAGCTGCAGGCGAGCGGGGACAGGTCTCCGCTGGGGACAGGGTCTGGGTATCGTCGCCGAAGCCCAGGAACGATCTACTGCAAAGGCAACGTTGGGGTCAGGGGAGGAAACACCAATCGTCTAGAGGAGAGACGAGGTGACATTCGGTCTCTGAATGTGCCTCGGGATCCCTAGACGACTAGAGATCAGCAGCTACCCGAGCGTTAAATTATCTTGTCAATGGATTTATTATATGAAAGGGACGGTGTGCGTGCGTGTGTGTGTGTGTGTGTGTGTGTGTGTGTGTATCTATGTATGTAGCCGTATATATGACAACCACGTATTTGTCCATGTTTTCATATTCGCAAGTAAATGATTAGAAGGGGCCTCCCAGAGTCTTCGGGAAAAAGACTAAGACTGCCTGGGGTCACCGCCTAGCCCTGCTGTCCGCGTTCACCGTGCTCATCTCTGAGGATCGCTCCTCCGATCTGGAGCACCCCAAGCTCCTGTGACACCCCCTCCCCCACACACACCCCAGCCGACTGCAAGCGCCCCAGCCCCCTCCGAGGTGGGCTCTCCTGTCGCCCAGGACTTCCGCAGCGGCGGGCGAGTCGGGCTGCCTGGGAGTCGGTGGCTGCAGCCCGCGTCTCTGGTGCCCCTTAGCGTTGGCTCTCGGAGTTCCAAGGAAGGAAAGCGACAGACACGCTAGGAAAATCTGGGGTGCCCTAGATTCTGGCACCTACGGGTCGTAGCTGTGGGCAAGCATCAGTCTCCTTTTATCTGAAGACCCTGTCCACGCCACCCCTTATCCTCACCGGAGCAGTGGGCGCAGGAGGCTGCGTTGGTGACAGCTGCTGCCTGCGCGCGTCCCGCGAGCGCAGCGCTGTCCGGGTTCTCTCTGGTCCTGTGTGACAGCGGTTTGCTCCAGCCGGTATACTATGTTGTCCTACCTTCCCTGGTTTCTAATGACCCTAATGCCCTGCCCAAGTGCACATTCACGTGGGCCTTATTAAGTGCCATCGATCTTGAGAAACCAAAGGGGTAGGTCATCTGTATTCATTTTCTTTCTTTCTTTTTTCTTTTTCTTTTCTTTTTCTTTTTTTAAGAGGCGCCGTGGGTGTTGGGCGATGTAGTCGGTATTTTTTAAATGGGTAGTTGCAAAACGTAACTGGCTGGATTCAACCGACTGGTCCCTTCCGTGGGGAAAAAGGTACATACTGTTTTACCCAAGTAAATTTTAAAGTTCGTAATAACGATATGTAATGACCACCAAAAAGCTGTGTCCAGTTTACTTCTTTAGTTCTTTACTTCCAGTTTACTGGTTTACTTCTAGGTGTCATGTACTGTTTTAAATGACCATTTGTGTAAGTGCGCCACTCTAGTACTTGGCTTTCAATGTGTTGAATTTCTGGTGAATGTCAGAATTTTTCTCCATAATTCAGAAAAACATATTATTTATTGACCAGATTGTTTTTAATTATACAGCTGTCTATAATTTGTATGTGAACCTTTAGCAGCAATATCTCATAAACTAAACTAAACATATATGTAGTTGTGTGTGTGTGTGTGTGTGACTAAACATATATGTAGTTGTGTGTGTGTGTGTATATATATATATACACACACACATAACTATTATTATACAAGTACTGTATGCACAATGCAGAAAAATTATAAAAAGGAAAAGAGTAATTAAAAAGTCAAAGTTAGCCCAACACCCATATATAGTCACTATTTCCACTTTGTGGTACCTCCCTAACATTTATTTTATATTACTAATCGCCTGTTTTGCGATATTTACTAATCCAGATTTTTTGAAGGATTGAAAAAGGAAGTACGATAGAATACATATCCATGTTTATTAGATGTTAATACATTTTCCCTTCAATATTGCATTGGAAATGTTAATCAGAGACACACAAATTTTGGTGGTGGCCCAGATCATTAGCATCTCTCTCTTACTCTGAGTGTTGTTAAATCAGAAAGAGAACTAGGAATGGGGGAATAAAAGAGATAAACAATTAAAATTAAAGGTCCATAATTCCCAAACAAGAAGCAAAGGAGGGCTCTGTTATTTTTCCTTATTATTATGCAGATCTAGACAAATTATGACTCAGAATATTTCAATGATACTTAGTAGTAATTCCCAAACAAGAAGCAAAGGAGGGCTCTGTTATTTTTCCTTATTATTATGCAGATCTAGTCAAATTATGACTCAGAATATTTCAATGATACTTAGTAGCAAGAAGCAAAGGAGGGCTCTGTTATTTTTCCTTATTATTATGCAGATCTAGTCAAATTATGACTCAGAATATTTCAATGATACTTAGTAGAACTCTTATATACCGCATTTAAAAAAAAATGTGTTTGATCTGATTTACTTCTATAACAGACTAGAGTTAATTCTATTTTTAAGTAATCTGGGACTTGCTTTCTATTAATGTTTCCCACGAGTGAGGACATTTTAAAATAAGACAATTTTAGGAATGCAGGCCCACTGGCAATCAACTGCCAACAGCCAATTTCACCTTTGTTTGCTACATGTTGGGTTTAGAGTGAACCATGGAAAGCCTGAGATGAAAGGCTATATCTGGCCTCTTGAAATTTAATCAAGGGGTATAGAAAACCAACGAGGTCAACAATCACAACATGGCAGAGAATCCCCAAGGATTAGCAACGGTTTGAGACGTTGGAGGAAAGTGGTGACCTGCAGTCGGATTTTTGAGAAGGACCATAGATAGGAAGGTATTGGGGTATTGACTGGGATCAGAAAGGACTCCTTTGAAAAGTGGAAAAGGACGTTTCAGAAAAACAACAGTGTTCAAGGACTCAGGAACCTGAAGGAGCCCAGGGCACTGGAGGATCTATGGGTAAGTGGGCTGTTTTGGCATGTTTGGTGTGTGATGTGTGCATGGGGAAGCAGAAGGGAGGAAACTAGAGAGAGGGGCTGAGGTTCCATCATGGAGAATATTGTATAATAAGTGAAGGAAACTGGCTTTTTTTCCTGAAAGAGATTAAGATTCATTAAGAAAAAAAGTTAGATTGTGATTTGAATGTTCATTTTCATTAACATCACTGTTCACTAAAGTCAAAATGAGAAATATTTTCAGAGAAGGTGCTAAGCGGATTAGTAAA